CTCCCTGATCCCAGTTTGGCTGGAGAGCTGGGGCACAGCCCGGCCCGGGCTGACCCCAGGGATTGGGGAGGCTCCAGTGGGGACAAGGTGGTGGCATTCAGCCCCAGATCCCGGGATGGGAGCAGATCTGTCCCCAAGCACTTCTGTCCCCGCCCCGGTTCCTTCCTGAGGARCCAGTGCCGGGAACTGGGGCTGGGGCTGCATCCAGCACCTTCCCGTCCTTTGCTGACGAAAACGGGGTTGAAATGGAAGCTGGGCAGGATGAGAGGGGCCAGGCCCTGTCCAAGACCTGCAGGAACCAGAAAAAAATCCCAGTGAAAGCAAGGAAGGGTCAAACCACCTCTGCTATCCTAATGAACCTGGAGAGGAGAAATGCAGGCGACACTTGGGATCTGTGTKCAGGATGTGGCTGCTCTGGGGCAAATCCTGTGGAAGACAGGGAATAGGATCAGGGCAAGTGATGGAGAAAGCCATGGCAGCTCTGGGATCTGCCCCTGGAATCCCTCACGGGAGAGGTGCAGCCCAAAGCACCTTAATTCCCAGCACCATGAATCACTGCCTCTTGGGAATGTTTTATTTTCTGAGTGGCAGCTGTTCTGGTAAAGCCACAAGTGAGTAAGAGCAGCCTTGGAATCCCCTTTTCCTGGCTGATTCAGGATGTTCCTATGGGATGCTCTTCCCAAATGCCTATCCCAGAGCAGTCACCCTCCTTGGAGCACCTGCCAGGTACTTGCTGTTGAAATGGAATATTTAGACAAACCAGAATCGTTTTTGGGATTCAAAAAAAGGGTGATTTGAGGGGCCCTTCCTGGCATCAGACTCCCAGGCAGCTCCTGGTGATGAGGATTTTGTCCCTGTGACTTCTGTGAAGGGATCCACCCCATTACCAGGTGGCTTTTTGTGTCACACAGATGCTGAAAGTCCCGTTTTTATTGAAGGTTACTCAGAGCTCTCTGTGGGGCTGGAAGGGAGCAACAGTTCTGGGCAAGCAAAACAACTCCGGGTGAAACCCAGCCACAGCTGGGGCAGGTGTGGGACCTTCCAGGGTGAAAAAAGGCTGAGAAGGTCCCCAAAGGCTCCAAGTCCCAGAGCAGAGCTCCTCCTTCCGCRGCATTTTCCTCTCCTGATGAACCAACCCCGCTCCCTGTGCTGCTCCAGGCAACCAGATCGCACTCAGTCCTTTCCAGAAAATTTTCTTTCAAAACATGATTTCAAAAATCACTTATGTGCAGGCAGAAATGCACCTGGCCAGCTGTCCCTCCTGGCTGCTTCACTTCTACAAACACACAGCAGCTCCTCTGGCCCTGCAAACGCCTGGAGCGCAGCCCACAGGAGCTGGGAAGGGGCCAGAGAAGGTTCAGGATTTCCTTCGGGAGAGGGCAGAGGTGGAAACCTCGTTAGACGAGTTTAAAAATATCAAGGGTTCAAATGGGCATGAATAAATCTGAAACCAGCACCTAATCCGAGGCAGCACCCACGTGTTGGTGCAAGTCGGAACTGGAGCAGCTCAGGAGAGGCTCCTGTGGGTGTTCAAACCCCCAAAAAGGCTCCAAAACCCCCGGCAGGAGAGGGCTGGGCAGTGCTGGGGCTGCAGAGRTGGAAGGGAAGCAGCCCCAGGGTCAGGGATGAACGTCTGGGCTGAACCCACCAGAGGTTTTTGGGCTGCATCTGTTTCCATCTCAAATCTGAGAGTGAAGAGGGAGAACAAGAACCCAGCCTGGGCTGTGGCTCCTCTCCCAGAGCTGTGCCCGCCTCATCCTCACTTGAGCTCTCCCTGCTCCTAGAAATGGGGTTTCAGATTCCCCCAAACACTTGCAGAGCTCCTGAGCAGGATCTGCAGCAGCTCAGCCCCATATTCCCAGCTCTCCCTGTCCCCAGTGTCCCTCACCCCTCGGGATGCTTTGTGGGTTCCAGGCACATCCCTCTGTGCCAAACAACACACACTGCACTGTGCAGAACCGGGCAGAGGGAACCAAACAGCCCCTGCCAGCGCTGAATTGGTGTTTAAACGCCCCAAATTGATTCTCCCTGGGTCAGCCCCTTCCGTTCCCAAACCGCCGCCGTTTGAAGGATCCAAACCACGGAACCATCGGCATCCCACGGGAGAATTCACAGCAAGAGTGGAGCCACACAAACCATGGGCTGTTTGTGCCATCCAAATGCCACCTGAGCCTGCCCGGGGGCACAGAGCTGTTCCCCTGCAGGGTGGGCACCTTTCCCAGGGTTAGGATGGAAGCTGGGACTCCCTAGACCGGGCTTTATCCRCCCCACAACGCCCCAGCCCAGGGCTGCGCCAAGGGAAACGCTGCTGAAAGCAAAACAAAACAAAAATTGCAACAAGGCGAGTTCCCAGTGGCGGCCCCAGGAACTGGGATGGGCAAGCTGCAGCCTGAATCCTCTGCCTTGTGCACAACCAGGAAAACAAAGCAGAGGTTGGGTTCTCCCAGCCCAGATGGGGCTTTAATTATACCTCATTTCTGCACCAGGGCATTTCCCTGCAGATTTCCCCGCCCTCCCCGTGGACTAAATATATTTAAAGCACAGTATATATTATGTATATAGTTTATATATATATGGTTTATTCTTCATTTTGTGGGGAAGGAATTCAGCTTGTGTTTGGATTTAAAACCACCCTCTTAGAGCTGATCCAAAAATGTCACTTTCTCCTTTATTGAAGGCCTTTACCCCTAAAAAAAAGTAAAAAAAACCCAACCAAATCTAAATCCCAAACTATTTTTTGTGCAACAACTGCACTGACTTCAGCACAAGGTTCCTGCCAGGTGGGACTCTGCCTATTCCTGGTGGGAATTTGCCCATTCCTGGTGGGATTCTGCCCATTCCTGGTGGAAATTTGCCCATTCCTGGTGGGATTCTGCCCATTCCTGGTGGGAATTTGCCCATTCCTGGTGGAAATTTGCCCATTCCAGGTGGGAATTTGCCCATTCCTGGTGGAATCTGCCCATTCCTGGTGGGAATTTGCCCATTCCTGGTGGGAATTTGCCCATTCCTGGTGGGAATTTGCCCATTCCTGGTGGGAATTTGCCCATTCCAGGTGGGAATTTGTCCATTCCTGGTGGAATTTGCCCATTCCAGGTGGAATCTGCCCATTCCAGGTGGAATCTGCCCATTCCTGGTGGGAATTTGCCCATTCCTGGTGGAATTTGCCCATTCCAGGTGGGAATTTGCCCATTCCTGGTGGGATTCTGCCCATTCCAGGTGGGAATTTGCCCATTCCTGGTGGGATTCTGCCCATTCCTGGTGGGAATTTGCCCATTCCTGGCACCAGGAGATGCAGGAATCCACAGGGGACAGGACAGGGCTCGGGTGTAAGAAACGACACGAGAAACTCATTTACGGCATTTCCAATGTGCAGAACCCTCTGTCCAGAGCACTGCTAATTAAAACATGCAAATGAGGGCTACACTTTCCCATCATGTATAAATAATAATGTTTCCTCACCTTTGTTCCTAAGGTTTCTCAGGGCATGGGGCTGGTGCTGTGTTCAGGAGAGCAGCACTGACACTGCACTGACTGAAAGCACTTCCCCATAAAAAATCCTAAAACTTCATCGAAATTCAAGATTTTATTTCAAAAAACAGTCATGAACTTAATAAATTACACAATAATTTTTCCTCATTATAAATTCTCCATAAAATATATTTTACAGTTTTTAAAGAAAAAAACATGGAAAAAAAAAAATCTTTTCCAAGTGCTGAAAAGTGTCTTGACTTCGTGTCAYGCTGGTGAACGACCCCTCAGCTGCTACAACAACTTGATTTAATTTCCCAAAACAAAGACCTCAGACAACAAAAATCAAAGAGAACACAGAGCTCCCAACAGCGAGGATAAGCACCATGAGAGGGATTTCAGGTACCCTCAACCTATAAAGTGGCAATCAGTGCAAAGAAACACTTTGGGAGTTAAAAAYCCCACAACTTCCCTGTGCCATCCCCTCATTTCTGCACTGCAGGCAGTGAAATCCTGCAGAGGGGAATCAGATAATTCACAAAGCACCTCAGAGGGGAGCAGAGTTGTTCTGTAGTAGGTTCATAACCTGCTCGTGACTTTTGGGTGGATAAATCGGGGGAATTGCACCCCTTCATTTTTAAAAAGCTCTCAAGTTTAACATGAATTACAAACCCYCTTCGAACTTTTCTCATCTGCTGAGATGTGAGAACTGTGAGGCAGTGTTGGCACAGAAGTGAAGTGAGTTTGTCTGAGAATCACTCCCTAAAACGATCAAGTGAAAGAAAAGAACAAGAATTAACAACTAAGGCCAGCTGGGTGACACCACCAGCTCACACAGCACCAGGTAAGAACCACCTGTGGTCTATAAAGCCTCTGAACTTGGGTGGGATCAGAATCCTTTGCTTTTGGAAAGAAATAAAAAATCATGTTTTGTTTATTCACACTCAAAGAATAAACACTGAGTGCCCAGAACTGCTCTCCCAGCACTAAGAGGAAACAGTATCCAAAAAGCAAATTATACAAGGAAATACTTACAGCCATTTTCAAGTAAGATTTGAGCGGGGGAAAAAATTAAATTTAATTTACTAAGAAAACTGGCCTTTCCTGCAGCTTTAAAGGCAACTTGAAGACTCTGCTTTTTCCCAAAAGCTCAGCCTGGAGGCGAAAGGTCAGTCCTGCACCCRAAAGAACAAAGTGTTGTGCTGGTACAAAGAGCTTCTGTCAGCCCTGCGGTGTCAGGTGGCCTCAGTGAAACCTCTCCCAGCCTCAATCTGCTCTGTGCAACACGAGCTGGGGATCAGCAGCTTCCAAGGGCTCCAAAGCTCCCCATCCTCCCAGCTGGGCTTTTAAATAAAGATCACTTCTTTAAGAGGAGGAGAAATAAAAGGGATCAGCCCAAGCTGCCACCTTTCATGTACCTGTCACTGAGTTTTCTCTGACAGCAGTGTGAGGCACAGGACAGTGTCACCTCTGTCCCCTCATCCCCACTGGATTAGGGGCAGTGCCACAGAGGAAAGGGCCATGGCCAGGATTAGGAGTTGGATTCAGTTKGTGAAAAAACTGTGCTGCCACCACATGTTGAAGGATTTTAAGAATCTGCTGCTGGATTAACTCATCCATGTTTCCATAAACTGAGGACTCTGCTGTGGTAAATCCTCAAGGTGCTATTGGATTATCAACACCAGAGCAGAGAGCAYGTTGAGAAAAGGTAGATTAATTAATTAATAAAAGCAAAATCAAATGATCAATGACCCAGCGCCCCTGCCAGCACCTGACTGTACATTTTTAATTTGACTCCCTTGGTGATGAGCTCATTAAGCTCTCAGTGCTAAGATCAGCCACGTTAGCACTTTGAAAGCAGCTGATCCCCTTGCATTGCTTTTTTTTTTGTTTGTTTGTTTACAAAGTCAAGTCTTTGAAATTAGATAACAAAAATAAATAACAAAGTCATTCAGGCCTGGGGAAGAAGGAGTKTTTCTCACTCACCTTCTTCACCCAGTGCTCCAGCAGACCCCAATCATCCAGACCCACAGCAAATAATTTAAGTGCCACACACTCCCAGTCACTCATATACATAAATATATACACAGATTACATTACAAAGCCTCAAGATTTGCACTGCCAGCATGCAAATCATCGGGGTATTTTTTTTCCATGAGAGTTCCTAATACTGACATAGGAAACTGGAATGTATGAGAYACTCCATGACAGAGTGCTGGAAATCAAGTAGTGTTGGCTCTCTCAAGACCCCACAGCCAGCACACACCAAGGAACCCCCTCACATCTCACTSGGGGATTTTCCACCACGGCCAACTCAACATTCCTGTCAGGAAACCCCAGTTGGGTGAAAATCACCCCCTGCAGCTGAGTTCAGGCCCTGCCTGCCACAAARGTGCCACCAAACCCTGTCACGTGTCCCAGCTGCTGTCCTTAAAKGCAATGTTGACCAGTCTGAGCTCCAGCTCGAAGGCGTCGGGCCGGTCCTGCGGGTTGGCCGCCAGCATTTCCTTGATCAGCTGCTTCATCCGAGCGTTCATGGATTTCTTCTTGACGGGGATGAGCAGCTCCATYTTGGGGTTCTCCAGCAATGCCTCCCCCACGGGCACGATGGCAGTGCCCTGYTTGACGTAGCTGCCCAGCAGCTCCTTCTTGGTCTCGGTGTCTATGAAGGTGATTCTCTCCAGCATGGCCCAGATGATGATGCCCAGGGCGAAGATGTCTGCCTTGGCAGTGTAGTGTCCCTCCCACACCTCGGGGGCCATGTAGAAGTCAGTCCCACAGGCGGTGGACAGGAAACATTTATTGACGTTGACGGGCTCCTCGGGGTTCTGGCCCGAGGCCGAGCACACTTTGCTCAGCCCAAAATCCGCCACTTTCAGGGTGGGCTCGGGGTCGCTGGCGTCCATCCTGCTCTGGGAGATGAGGATGTTGTCAGGTTTGAGGTCRCGGTGGATGATCTGGTTTTTGTGCAGGAAGGCCAGGGCGCTGCTGAGCTGGAGCATGAAGCTGGTGTTGGTTTTRCGGTTGGGTTTCCGGGACAGCAGGTACTCGTTCATGTCTCCCCCATCACAGAAATCCATCACAAACCACAGGTAATAAGCACTTTTGGGGTCAAAGGCTATTTCTCCTTTTAATGAGGTTTCTACAAGCTGCAACGAGGAAAAGAAATGTCGTAACTACCTGATGATGATGAGAATGAAAGGATATGACAGGGAAATGCATGAAATCAGGATCTTCACAGAGAGGGGAAATTTGAGTTAGTTATACAGAAGGAATTCTTCCCTGTGGGGAAGGTGAGGCCCTGGCAGARGCTGCCCAGAGAAGCTGTGGCTGCCCCATCCCTGGAATGTCCAAGGCCAGRTTGGTGCAGCCTGGGGCAGTGCAGGGTGTCCCTRCCCATGGGAATGAGATGGGGTTTAAGATCCCTTCCAACCCAAACCWTTCTAGGATTGTTTAATCCTCCTCTCAACAATCCAGAGAGCGAGATATTGCAATGGGGGAAAGAAAGCATTATATAAATGTTTTTATGGAAAAGAAAAAAAAAATCACAATATATTTGCCAGCCTCCTTATCTTCACTCGTGTGGAGCATATCAAGCTSGGGCTCCTGCCCAGAAGTGGAGCTCGACCCTGATAACAGCATTTTTAAAGATACCCAGTGGCCATTGCCCTCCCATCTGTCCCAGCTGGAMAGTGTCCCACCCCGACAAAGCCTGTCCCACCCACTTTGCCAACAGCTTTTCGGGATAAACAAAGTCTCACAAGTAACTCCACACAGCTCTATTTATCCAGGAGAGATTTTTAAAGCCTGTTCTCCATTCCTGACACATTAATGAATTCCAGCAAGTTAACACAGGATCCCTGAACTTAGGAGAACACTGATCTACAGGCACAGCTGAGCACGAAACACCCTTCCCACCATCATTATCCACATGGGATTTTCAGGAACACAAGTTGAACAGCCAGTTCTTAGAGCTGCTTCACACAGAAAGCAAAGTAAAACCTGCAATCACTTGTACTAATCCTGTTTACACAACTGCATTTGCCTCTTCAGCTCCTCTGAGGTGGCTCTGGAAGKTAAGTCCTGCAATTACTTCTGTTAGTAGTAAACCAATGGATACTAAACCAAACTGGCTTTCAAAAATTAAGGGRTGTGTTAATATTTAGAGAGGTAATTTGAAGTGCTTTGAAAAAGTGACCTTTCCAAAAGAAAAACTGGTAGTAATTTACAGCTACCTTCCCAGACTAATTTAAACCAGTAAATCTATTCCAGAATTTTAAAAGGCCACATTTAGGGTTTGTAGTCTGGAWCAGTGAGATTAAGGTATCTCAGGAGAGCAGGGAGTCTCCTCTGCCAAGAGGGCACCCACACAGCTCTGCMCTCCACAGGAGCTGCACTTGCAGATGTGAGAGTGAAGACAAGAAAATCCAGCCTCACATCTGTGMCAGTGGCAGAGCACCAGGAGACAAGGCTAACTCAGGACTCAAACTCTAAGATTTGGTTCAGCTGGCACTAAGAATCTGCCCCAGAGCCCTTCAGGAAAGAATGACACCCCTTCCTCAGCTCCCTCACACAGAGCAGCAGCTCAGCTCTGTAACATCACCTGGGAGAGGAGAGGCYGAGCCAAGAGGGGTCTGACTGTGCTTAATCAGCCCAGTTTGAAAAAAAGTGACCCCCCTGCTCAGCTCAGCTGTGCCCTTTGCTCTTCTCTCTGAGCAGCAAAACAATCTGTGGTGTTGGCACCCGGCAGGGGCCAGATCCCTGTGCCAGCTGCTCCCCAGCACCACCACCCAAACCAGGGCTCCAGGTGAGCTGGAAGCTCTTCCCACCTTGCAGTTCCTCCCTGGGGCATTTGAAGCGACTCTCATCTGCCCACAAGCTGGAGGCAGACACTGCCCTCTCCCCCATGAGCTGGGCAGTGTTATTCTAGCCAAATCCCTCAATAAAACAAGTCAGGAGCAGTGCCCAAGCTACAGGGAGGGGGCAAAGGCAAGAATCCTGGTTCTCAGGCTCGGACAGCAGCCAGCACAAAGGGATCCAAAGGGCTGCTCACCAACAAAGGTCCACACCAGACAGCAGGAATGACAATAAAAACTGAAATTGTAAGAGCTGACTAGGGAGAACACAGCAAACACTGAGCAGGCTGCTGGCTTTTTAAACCAGAGACACAAACTTCTGCCAGAGGGTAATTTAKACTTGGGGCTGCTTCTTGACAAGGGAATTAATTAGATTATCTTTCAATGCCTTTCCAGAACTACTTATTCTTCAAAAATACACATCTTCAAACTTACAGGACACTTTCGGAGTGGTATTTATTCCCTTATTTATCATACCTTCACCACTCTTTGAAGAGATTAATAGTTACTTATTAAAAAAGAAACAGCTCCTGATGTGCTATCAATTGCTGATTGTTTCTAAAAGAATGTCAAGTGTTGGCTTCCTATAAAACAAGACAGTGACTTCCTCTTCCAAGGGCACCTGAGATGGAATTCCTCTGAGCTCTGTCCCAGGACATGAGTGCTCCTTAACCTGCAGCAGGGCTGCTGCCAACAACGCCACAGCCTGCTTCCTCAAATTATCAAAGCAGATTTGCATTAAATACAAATTCTGGAGTCTTTCAGAGCAGCAGGGCTTCAAATCTCAAGACCCAGGTGACGGTTCAGTTTTTGTAAAGATCTCTATTAAATTTTGGGTGTCAGCAATGCAAACAACCCCCTCACCTAACTGAACACACCTCAAAACCACGAGAGACCCTGGCTGCCCTTCCCACCCAGCTCCACATCGTCACCGATTCCTTCCACCCCGTTCCCTCGGCTTCGTGTACCTGTAAATAAAGGGAGGAGCTGGAGCCATGGGACATCTTCTGCACCATGCCATCTTTCTGCAAGATGCACTCCTCCAGGTGAATGACGTTGGGGTGCTGGCTCTTGATACTGCTAAGGGCCCAGAACTCRCGCAGAGCCAGTTCCACGTTCTCCGGAGCGTGGCACCGGATCTTTTTCACGGCCACGCGGGCACAGGTCCTCCTGACGACCGCTTCGTACACCACACCATAACTGCCACGACCAACCTCCCGAATTAGATCGTACTTAGGCTGGCTACTCACCATCTTCAAGAGCAAAGGTTCTGGGGAAGGGGGAAAAACCCACAGAACTAAAACTTAGGCACAGGAACCGGGCTGTATTTTCCCCCTTAGGGGCTGGCGTGGCCAGACCCCGCCATTAACAGGGGTCGAGTGCTAGAACATTCCAGAAGCTACTCACTCCATCAACCTGCACCTCTGCCACCGACCAGGTGGAAGTGAAATTACATTTCGTTAAGATTTCAAACACAGCCCAGCTTTTTCAAGGTGGCAACAATTCAAACCTAGACTGGTATGGTGCCGAGGCAGGACTATCGAGAACGCTCCTGCTCCTCTCCCTCAGAGTCTTCTGTGAGCATCTGCAGGAATAACAGGAGGGTGTCATGCTCCCCATCCAGCCTAGAGAGCACAGGAGGTCCCAGCTGAATGCCCTGGTTGGGCAGTGACAGATTTAATGAACTGCCTTTTTGTGGAGGTGACTGCAGGAGCAAAGGTTTCTGTTATAATTAAGTTGTTTCACTCTGAGAAGAGAAAGCTTCAATCGCTCCAGATTTATCTTTTTGAGGTGACTGATTTTGCACCGAGTCTCCCCTGCATGAGGAATCTACAGCTATGAAAGGTTATAAAAAGGATAACTGATTGCAGAAGTTTGCACCCAGCATCTAACTTTCACTTTCGCTCAACAGAGCAAGGACAAAAGTTAAGTTATTGCTCTGAAAGTAAAACAAGACACACACACACACACAAAAAAAAAAAAAAAAAAAAAGAGATTGCCTAGCCAAGGATCACTGGTCACACTGGTCAAACAGAATGAAACGCAAAACCAAAAGCAAATAAATAAATAAAATCACACTGATAGATCAGAACTAAAATAGCTTTAAGACAGCCAGTGATAAAGGTAATTCTCTTTATGTCAGTAAACCAGGCAATAAGGAGCACATTGAAACGGCCTGCTATTAGTAGGAAGCTTTCAAGTATTTCCACTGCTTTAGTCATTTTTTTTTGCAAAGAAAAAAAAAAGAAAAAAAAGAAAAAGAGAGAGAAAAAAGGTATCATCAGTCTCAGGCAATGCTACAGGGATATTTTAACCTTTCAGCAAAGCTGTGTGATGCACATTTGCAGAAAGGTTTTGAACCACGATGTGACGTGTGTGAGAAACGCTTTAACAGGAGAATCCACTGACGGGATGGGTTCGGCTGCACCTGTAGCAGGGCTGCAGCTCCAGATCAGAGCCCGAACATTGAGATCTGATGGGCCAACAGGGGCAGGATCTGCAATTTCACCAGCGGCCAAATAACTCCGCAGGGAAACACTGCGCTGCGTTACTCAAACACGGGCACAGCGGGTTCGAAGCGGCCACAAAACGTCCCCCCGTGTCGGAARGCGGCTGTCACCGCGGCCGTGTCACCGTGCCGAGCTCCGGCCCTGCTCCGGCCCCGCTCCGGCCCTGAGGGAGCCCCGGGCCCGGCCCGGCCGAGCGGACACCGGGCCGATGCCGCCGCTCGCTCCTGCGGGCCCGGGAAGCGCCGCCCGCCGCCTTAACGGGGTGATTAGGGAATAATATAATTATATAAGTRATATAGAGAATATAAATGCCCCCTCGTGCTCGGGGCGGCCGCAGCGGGCCCCCACCTGCGGCTGTACCGGGAAGCACCGGCGGCACCGYTCGCCTCAGAGMGAGGASGGTGATGCTGGGCCCTSCCCGCCACAGCGGGTACCGGGCGCYCCAAACCCKCAGCGCGGATCCCGCCCCGCTACAACCCCCCGGGAGCCGGGGAGGGTGTGGGGCCGCCCCGGGCCGAGGCGAACCGGGGGAATCCGCGTTACCTCAGCGCCGCCGCCGCCGCCGCCCGGCCGCCATCTTAGAGCCGCTCCTCCCGCGCCGCCTCCCTCAGCCGCGGCCACGCCCCCCTCAGCCGCGGCCACGCCCCCCTCAGCCGCGGCCACGCCCCCTCAGCCGAGGCCACGCCCACCCGGCCAGCGGCGCCCTCTGATTGGTCACTGAGGCAGGGGGCGGGGCGAGTGCGGCGGGCGTTCGATTTCTTTCATTAATTAATTTAATTTCGGTTTATTAATTCGGAGGAATTGTTCGCTGGGAGGGTGCGGAGGCCCCAGCGCAGGGTGCCCAGAGAAACTGTGGCTGCTCCAGCCCTGGCAGTGTCCCAGGCCAGGCTGGACAGCGCTTGGAGCACCCTGGAACACCCCATGGCAGGGGGGGAATGGGATGAGCTTTAAGCGCCTTCCTTCCAAAATAAACAATTCTAGGGCTTTATGATTTATTGCTGCTTCTAGAAAAAATCAGTACAGCCCCTCTCATGTTCGGCTGTGCTCTGGCTTGGTGTGGCAATGACACTGGAGGTGTCGCCTCTCTGTGCTCTCTTCTGGGCCATGGCTGTCATCCTGCTGTCTCCTCAACAATTACAAAGCCATTGCTGGGATATTTTGGGTGAAGCCAGGGCCACCCGCTGCTCAGAGCCCTGCAAAAACCAAGCAGAGAGAGTTCCATTCCCGCAGTGGGCTCTCCAGGGTTAATTGGGAAGGATCCCGGGGGTGATTAATGCCCTGGGTCCTGCCTAAGCTGTCCCAAGCCAATTAGGTGCCAACGAGCCCCTTGTGGGTTTGGAAAGCTGCTTAGGGCATTACAACCCCTCCATTCCTGTGAATCCCCTTAATCGAGTCCAGAAGCAATTAGTTAATCAATGTCACCCCGGGCAGGAGCAGGTTGTGTCTGGGTCCGGCCGGTGTCTGACCGCTCCTCTGCCCTCCCGCTGCCCAGCCTGCCCCGTTCCCCGGCCAGCACCTCGCTGGCAGAGCCCCAAGTGCCGGAAAGAACGGGAACGATTTTGCAAGATGTGCCTGGCGGGTCCCGGCACGGTCACTCGCTCCACACGTGAACCGGGGCGGAAGGAGCCCCGAAACAGCGGCGGGGATGTCCTGGGGGAGGGATGGGGACGGGAGGGGTCGGTGCACCCCAATAATCTGTGTGTGTACATCCGTGTACCTGTGTGCTCATACATCCGTGTACCTGTGTGCTCACAGATCCATGTGTCTGTGCACCTGTACATCCATGTACCTGTGTGCTCGTACATCCGTGTGCCCATGTGCGTGTACATCCGTGTACCCGTGTGCTCACACATCTGTGTACCTATGCCCCTGTACATCCATGCACCCGTGTGCTTGTACATCCGTGTACATCCATGTACTCGTGTGCTGTTACATCCGCGTACCCGTGTGCTCGTACATCCGTGTGCCCATGTGCACGTACATCCATGTACCTGTGTGTCCCTGTACATCCGTGTACCTGTGTGCTCATACATCCATGTACCTGTGTGCACATACATCCGTGTACCTGTGCCCCTGTACATCCATGCACCCGTGTGCTCGTACATCCGTGTACCTCTGTGCTCCTGTACATCCGTGTACCTGTGTGCTCATATATCCGTGTACCCGTGTGCTCGTACATCCATGCACCCATGTGCCTGTACATACATGTCCCCGTGTGCTCATACATCCGTGTGCCCATGTGCTCGTACATCCATGTACCTGTGCCCCTGTACATCCATGTGCCCCTGTACATCCATGTACCCGTGTGCTCATACATCCATGTGTCTGTGTGCTCATATATCCATGTATCTGTGCCCCGGTACATCCGTGTGCCCCTGTACATCCATGTACCCGTGTCCCTGTACATCCATGTACCCGTGTGCTCATACATCCATGCACCCATGTGCTCATACATCCGTGTACCTGTGCCCCTGTACATCGATGTACCCGTGCACCCCGGTGCCCGGGCACCCCCGCACCCCCTCCCTCCCGCAGTCGCTGTGGTCCCCCCGCAGCTGCCGTCCCACCCCACCCTATCCCCGCCATGGGTGACAAGGGCTAGGGTTACCCTGTGCCCGCGCTGACAGCTCTCCCCGTGGCCAGCACTGGCCCGTGGCCAGCCAGCTGGCCGCCGTGTCCGGGGCTGTTTTCAGCGAGGGCTGTGCTCACSCTCTGCCCCCGCCGCCGTTTCTGGGTCAGGATTTGCACCCCAGCAGCGGAGCCAGCTGGGTCAGGGCTGTGACAGCGGTGTGGGGACAGCCCGAGCAGCCCCCGCGGTGTCTGGGGACACAGAGGAGCCCCCGAACCCCCGCCTGGGGAGGGGACACCCTGCTGCCCGTGCCAGGCGCGGGGGCTGCGAATCCCCAGAGCTGCCTCTCCCCTCCAAGCACACAGRGAGCTGTTTGCACCCCACAAGTGTCATGTTTTGGGTGGGAAAAGGGACAAACCCTGTACGAGCCCCCCTCTGCTGCTGCTGGCCCACCCCTGATTTCTGCAGCCATCACAATGTCCTGATGACCACGGGGCTGTTTTTTCCCCTCCCTGCCCGCACTCTGACGCTGTTTTGGGGTCCACCCCGGGACCTGGCCGTGCTGTTCCCAGGATGTGCCACCCCCTGACCCTGTTTCCCCCCAGCTCCGGTTGAGGCATGCCCACGGCACGGGCGGGCAGGGTCTCCTGGACAGCCTGTGCCCTTGTTGTTTATTTTACCCCGTGGATGGCTCACCGCCGTGTGACAGGTGCTGTCCCCGACACCCGACACCGCCACCGGGATGGGGATCCGCGTGACCGCGGAGCGCCCCATAAATAGCGGGGCCGAGGGGCGCCGGCAGTGACAGCCGCGACAGGACAGCGCTGACGAGCCCATGGATTTCCAAGCCGGCCTCTTGCAGGATGGCAGCCCCATGGAGAGCCTGGAGAAGCAGCTCATCTGCCCCATCTGCCTGGAGATGTTCAGCAAGCCCGTGGTGATCCTGCCCTGCCAGCACAACCTGTGCCGCAAATGCGCCAACGACGTCTTCCAGGTGAGCCCCCCGCGCCCATCCCGTCCCTCTGGGGGTGTTTTTGGGGACACTGAGGGATGTTCGCCTTCCCCTGCCAGGCCGCCAACCCGTACTGGCAGAACCGGGGCAGTTTGATTTCGGGGGGCCGGTTCCGGTGCCCCTCGTGCCGCCACGAGGTGCTGCTGGACCGCCACGGTGTCTACGGGCTGCARAGGAACCTGCTGGTGGAGAACATCATCGATATCTACAAGCAGGAGTGCTCCAGGTGGGTTTTGAGGACACGGGGATGAGGGGATGTCCCCCTCCTGTGTGTCACCCCCAGAGTGTCACCACAGCGGGCTGAGATGGGCAAGAAACTGGGATTCTCTCTGCTGCCTCACTGATCCCCAAATCAAATCTTTTCCTGACTCAAATCTTCCTCCCTCAATCAAAATCTGCCTGCCACCACTCAAAACTTCCTCCCCAGACCCAAATCTTCCTCTCCCAACCAATTTCTCCCCCTTGACAGGAGCAGTTTGTGCCCTGGCTGTCTCAGGGGCTCCCTGGTGAGGGTGGTGGCAGCTGGGCAGGTTCCTCTGCCCCCCAAACGCTTTTTCTGGAACATTCAGCGGGAGATAAGAGGTGTGGGGACCAAATCCAGGCACTGCTGGTGACAACAGCACTGATAAGGGACAGTTTGGGGGGGTCCAAGCATGAGCTGGGGGGGGACAGAGGGGTCGCAGGTTCTCGAGGCAGAGCCTGGCCAAATTCCCACTGTAAATATTGTTTGAGAGCCATGGGGACGGGGACGATGGCACGTGGCAGGTGTCCCCAGCCTCGGGGGGGCCGGGGGGCCCAGCTCTGTCCCCGGCTCACAGGGTTGGCTTGTCCCCGTGTCCCTCCCTGCTGGGGATGGGACGATTGGGCTGCAGCCCCCGAGCGGGACCCCCGGGGTGCCCCCACCCTGGTCACACATAGGGATGGGTGACAATAAATCCGGGCAGACAAGGCTAAAATTAGGCACCAGTGCAGCGCTGGATCATGGCACCCCGTCCCAGGGCTGACCACTGCCAGACCCAGCGCTGTGCTGGTTTAAACTGGGATGGACTGGGCGTGGGGTCTGCAGAGGCACCSAGCTTGGGATCGTGCCAGGACCCAGCCTGGGGACCCGATTTGGGGGTGACTGTGCAGCATCAGTGGGGGCGGGTKTGACAATGGGGACACTGTGGTGGCAGGGGTGTCTTTGTGATGGGGATGTCACCATGGTCTGGGTGTCCCGGGGATGTCACTGTGCTGTGGGTGTCCCTATGACAGGTATGTCACCCTGCTGTGGGTATCCTGGGGATGTCACCCTGCTCTGGGTGTCAGTGTGATGGGGATGTCACCCTGCTCTGGGTGTCCCGGGGATGTCACCCTGCTCTGGGTGTCCCCATGACGGGGCCATCACCCTGCTCTGGGTGTCTCTGTGACAGGGATATCACCCTGCTCTGGGTGTCCCGGGTATGTCACCATGCTCTGGGTGTCCCTGTGACGGGGATGTCACCCTGCTCTGGGTGTCCCAGGGATGTCACCGTGCTCTGGGTGTCCCTGTGATGGGGATGTCACCCTGCTGTGGGTGTCCCGGGGATGTCACCNTGCTCTGGGTGTCCCTGTGATGGGGATGTCACCCTGCTGTGGGTGTCCCGGGGATGTCACCCTGCTCTGGGTGTCCCTGTGATGGGGATGTCACCCTGCTGTGGGTGTCCCGGGGATGTCACCGTGCTCTGGGTGTCCCCATGACGGGGCCATCACCCTGCTCTGGGTGTCTCTGTGACAGGGATATCACCCTGCTCTGGGTGTCCCGGGGATGTCACCCTGCTCTGGGTGTCCCAGGGATGTCACCCTGCTCTGGGTGTCCCTGTGACGGGGATGTCACCCTGCTCTGGGTGTCCCTGTGACGGGGATGTCACCCTGGCCGTGCCGCTGTCCCCAGCAGGCCACTGAAGAAGGAGGAAGCCCCGATGTGCAAGGAGCACGAGGACGAGCGGATCAACATCTACTGCGTCACCTGCGAGGTGCCCACCTGCTCCATGTGCAAGGTGTTCGGAGCCCACAAGGACTGCGAGGTGGCCCCTCTGCAAAGCGTCTTCCAGGGACAGAAGGTGCCGTGGAGGGGGGTTCTGGGGGTGCTGGGACCATGTGCTCAGCTGGGACAGTGACAAATGYCACCGGGATTGGCTCACGGGGTATTTATAGCCCGCGGGTGACTTCGCCCAGGAGACAGACTATATTTAGAGCAGGCTGGTGGGGCTGTGGGGGAGCAGGGTTGGGGACAAGCAATGCCCASCCTGTCCCCAMTCTGGGATGGGACAAATCCCCRTCCCCACAGGAGTTCAAACCTTTTCCGTCTGTCCCTCGCCAGACCGAGCTGAACAACTGCATCTCCATGCTGGTGGCGGGCAAYGACCGGATCCAGACCATCATCTCCCAGCTGGAGGACTCCTGCCAGAGCACCGAGGTGAGCCAAGAGGGGAGAGGAGCCCCCTAAAAACCCGGGGGTGAAACCTCAGCCGGGGATGGGGTGGAGACCGCGGGGCGGGGAATCCCTCGGGATGCTGCCGGTGCCGGAGGGACACARAGGTGACACCCTCGTCCCTTGTCCCCGCAGGAGAACAGCGAGGCGGCCAAACGGGAGCTCTGCGCTCGCTTTGACGCCCTGGCGGCGCTGCTGGAGGAGAAAAAGGCGGAGCTGCTGCAGCGCATCGCCCGGGAGCAGGCGGACAAGACTGCCTTCATCCAGAGCCTGGTGTGCCAGTACAAGGAGCAGCTGGAGAARTCGAGCCGGCTGGTGGAGACAGCCATCCAGGCCGCCGAGGAGACCGGGGGGGCCGCCTTCCTCATGGTGAGACCCCCAAACCTTCCCCCGCACTGTTGGGGATGCCCTGGTGGCGGCTGAGTAGCTTCACTCACCTCTTCCTCCTCCTCTTCTTTCTCCTCCTCCTCCTCTTCCTCCTCCTCCTCCTTCCCGTTCTCTCTCCCCGCAGAATGCCAAGCAGCTCATCAAAACGTAAGTGCCAGAACTGGGGGAATCTCCACGATCCAAGCCCCGCGGGCAACATTTGGGTGGGGGGATGCCCTGAGCCCCTGCCCCGGCGCCCCGCGGTCCCCCAGCCCAGCGAGGGGACAGGGACACGCACTCACATCGGCGCTCTCCCCGCCCAGGATCGTGGAAGCCTCCAAGGGTGGTCGCCTGGAAAAAATCGAGCAGGGATACGAGAGCATGGACGCGTTCTCCGTGAGCCTGGACCACCTCACCGAGGCCGTCCACGCCCTGGATTTCGACCCCGGTAATTGAGCCCCCAACGCCCCTTCACCAGCTCCCACCGCCCCGGTGACAGCCACCGCATTTCCTGGCGGCTCCCGGTGACCTTTGGCCKCTTGTTCGCAGCAGAGGAGGATGAGGAGTACTTTGATGGGGAGGAAGAAGAGGTGGAAGAGACCGCAGCGCCCGAGAGGACAGTGATGGGTAAGGCCGATCCCACCCCTCAGAACCCTCGAGCACCCATGGGGGAGCTCTGAGGGGCTCGGACCCTCCTTAATCCCCCCATCCTCTCCCCGACAGCTTCCCTGTAGCCACAGAAACGTTGCCGGCGCGGGAGAAACGCCCCCGGGCACGGGATGTCCGGCGACAGCTTTGGGATAGSGGGGGACACGCGGCGGGGACCGGCAGCCTGGCGAGCCCGCCCCAGCACAGGACACTTTTCTATACGGGTGCAAACAGGACAATTCCGCACGTTTTGTAATTCCCTTGTTTTGTATATAATTGTCACGGATTTGAAATTTGTGGATTTTGTAAAGAAAACCGGCTCTTCGCGTGGTTATTTCTCCTTGCTCGCGGTGGGCACCGGGGGAGCGGGGGGTTTGCCAGGATGCTCCCGGCGTGGCAGAGGGATTCCTCCGCTCCAAATCTTAATTTCCAACCTCATTAGCACCTCCGGCAGCGCYGGCGGCCGCTCCTGGCCGCTTGCCGGGGATGTAACAGGTCGGCACCCCGCAGGATTTATCTCCTGGGGATGGGATGCCCTGTCCAGAGCCCTCCCGGTGTTGGGGATGTGGAAAAAGCGGGGCTGAGGATGCTCCAGACTGTGCCAATCCCTGAAATGGGCATTGTCTCGGCATCGAGCTGCTGGTTTGCTGCTGACCGGGCTCAAAAATACACCTTGGATGCAAAAATATAAACGCAAAAATGCATCATAAATGCAAAAATGCATCCTAAATGCAGAAGTACCCCCATAAATGCTTTTCTCCTGCAAAAACATAAATCCAGCTCGGCTGGGAAACTGAGGCAGCATCCAGAGCTGAGCCACAATCGCAATGAGCCCCGGGGTAATTCGCGCTGCTCAGTCGGGGTGGGGGGCAGGAATCCCTGCTGGGGAGGGGGATCGGCTCCAGGATTGTCCATCACACGGATCAAAACTGGGGGTTCTGAGAGCTCCCCAAAACGGCGAGTGGGAGTCACCGTGAGGCTTCGGAGGGATCGCTTCATCCCCCTGTGCCTCGGGGGCTGCCCCCAGCCCGGGCCGTGCAGCTCCCGGGGGTGTTTCGGATGGGTCCCAGAGCGATTCCCCCTCCTCAGCAGCCCCCCAGGCGAGGGGGCCCAGCCCGGGGCCGGCTCCGCGGGCGCTTTGCAGCCGGCTTGGCCGTCCCTCCTCCAGCCGCGATTTGCACACGAATCCCGGCTCTTCACACGAGCCGAGGCCACCGGCTGCCACCAGCGCCGGCCACACGCCGGGGTCACCAGAGCCCGACCCGGAGGAGGATGGCAGCCGGCGACGAGAAGCGGCACCTCCTGAGCGACAGCACGGCCGGGTACGGGGGTGCTGGGGGGGCTCCCGAGTGGGGTCCGGCCGGGGGGGAGCACTGAGGGTCCCCAAAACCCTCCCAGCCCCTCCTCCAGCCCCAACCACCCCTCTGGCCGCCAGGTCCTACGTGGGGGCCGTGCACAAGGACGGGCACAACGCGGCGCAGGGACAAGCGCCCGCCCTGGAGTTGGGGACACGGCGTGGGCGGCAYTGCCACACGCGAGGGGCCGATGGCCACCCCGGGCAGCAGCAGCGAGCCCGCAGGAAGCTCTACCTGGCCGCGGGCATCTGCCTCTTCTTCATGGTGGGGGAAGCCGTGGGTGAGTGTGGGGCGGGGTCCCCGTGGGTCACCCCGGGGTGCTGCCCACAGCCCCTCTTGTGGTGCGGCCGGAGCTCCCTGCGGGTTCTCCGTGGGGTCAGAACCCCCAGTGGGGTCGGGGGGTGAGGTGGTGTGTGCCCAGCTTGGGGCAGCGCCCCTGCCATGTCCCCCGATGTCCCCCCGATGTCCCCCCCATGTCCCCCGATGTCCCCACATGTCCCCCCGATGTCCCCCGATGCCCTGTGTTCGCAGGCGGGTACCTGGCGCACAGCCTGGCCATCCTGACGGACGCTGCCCACCTCCTGACGGACTTTGCCAGCATCATGATCAGCCTCTTTGCGCTCTGGGTGTCCTCGCGTCCCCCCACCAAAACCATGAACTTCGGGTGGCACCGGGCAGGTAACGGCGGTGGCAGCGCCCCGGGGATGCCATCGGGRCACCGTGGGGACCGGGTGCTTTGGGGTGCCCTGAGGGGCCTGGCAAAGCCCTGGCACCACGAGCAGGGCAAGAAGGAGGGCGAGGAGGGCGAGCAGGGATGAGTTTGGGGTGCCCGATCCCCCGGGGAGCCGGGAATGGCGCTCGGAACGGGCAGAGATGCAGCAATGTGGGGCGGGGTCTCTCCGCAGAGATCCTGGGGGCCCTGCTCTCCGTGCTCTCCATCTGGGTGGTCACGGGGGTCCTGGTGTACATGGGGGCCCAGCGCCTGCTCTCGGGGGACTACGACATCGAGGGCGGGGTCATGCTCATCACCTCGGCCTGTGCCGTGGCCGTCAACATCGTGTACGTACCCCGTGCCCGGCCCGGGTGTCCCCTCCCCGAGCCCCGGGGTGTCACCGGGGTGTCACCGGGGTGTCACCGGGGTGTCACCGCTGCCCTGCCCGCAGGATGGGGATGGCTCTGCACCAGACGGGCCACGGGCACAGCCACGGAGGGGCCGGCGAGCAGCCCAACGCCAGCGTCCGTGCTGCCTTCGTCCACGTGGTGGGGGACCTGCTGCAGAGCGTCGGCGTCCTCATCGCCTCCTACATCATCTTCTTCAAGGTCTGRGTGGGACTGGGGGCAAAGGGGGTGMTGGGGACATGGGGAYRGCRGCTTCAGACTGTCCTGGTCAGGCACAGGGCGAGGCAGAGCGGACTGTGTGCCCTCCCGGCCGGTGCTGACGGGGTTTGGGGTGGGGTGATGGTGCCGGGGGTCCCTCACCCCCTGCCACCCCCTCCAGCCCGAGTACAAGTACGTGGATCCCATCTGCACCTTCCTCTTCTCCGCACTGGTGCTGGGGACAACGCTGACCATCCTCCGCGACGTCCTCCTCGTCCTGATGGAGGGTAGGGACACACCGGGGTGGTGGGGACAGGGCTGCGGGGTCACCCCCGGGTGTCCTGGGCCCCGTCCCTGCAGCTCCCGCTGCTCCCCTTCCGCAGGGACCCCCAAAGGGATGGATTTCAACGCGGTGCAGGAGATGCTGCTGGCGGTGCGGGGCGTGGAGGCCGTGCACAGCCTGCACATTTGGGCGCTGACGGCGGCCCAGCCGCTGCTCTCGGTGCACATCGCCATCAGTGAGTGTCGCAGTGTCGCAGGGCAGGGCGCGGTGGGCTCGGGGTTCCCCCGTGCCCAGAATTCCCTGATTTTCTCCCGGCAGACGCGGCCGCCAGCGCGCAGGAGGTGCTGGAGGAGGCCAGCTCCCGGCTGCAGGGCGCTTTCCGCTTCCACACCACCACCATCCAGGTGGAGAGCTACTCGGAGGAGATGCGGGACTGCCGGCAGTGCCAGCCCCCCCGCGACTGACCGCCGGCCTYCTTTTCTGTGTGTGGGAAATAAAGCAGAGCGCACGGGGCTGTGTGGGGGATGTTGGCTCTGCCTGTTCTCTCCGGTATCTGCGGGAGCCAAGGACAGACCCAGGGCTGTGCCAGCCGGAGGAGAGGGCTCTTGGAGGCCAACCGCGTAATTTTCGCTATTTCTATTCAGCTGGGAGGAAAGGCAGCTAAAACACAGCTAAAACACCCCCTTTTCCCTTCTCCGGGGAGCGCTGCGAGGCAATGGGGTGCTGCACTGCCCAGGGACTGAGGGGACCAAGCTGGAGGCGGGGAGGGAGGTCACACACATCCCTTATCGCTGCTCTGTTTGCCCTCGGCAAGGTGAAGGACTCGCCCTCCCCGCAGGGCTCGGGGGAGCTGCGAGTGCGGCCAGGAGCTGCTCGGGTGATTGCCGGGGTGCTCGAAACTTCCCGGGTGATTCTCRGGGTGCACCCAAAATCGGGTGATTCCCGGGGTGCCCAAAAGTGTCCRGTTGGTTCCCGCGGTGCACCCAAAACCGGGTGCTCCCCCACATCCTACAGCCGCCATCCGTTCCTCTGCACCCTCCTTTATTGCACTGGTAAAACCCAATAACGAGTAAAACCCCGTCAGCAGCRGCCGCCGCCCCCGGAGAGCTCYGMGCACCGGGARYKGGGCACCGGAGCCGGCCCCGAGCCCGGCAGCCCTCACGGCTTCTCCAAGCGCGGGTATTTCTTGCGCAGGACGGAGACCTGGTCTTTGAAGAGGACGGGGTCGAGCCGCAGCTGGGAGGACACCAGGGGCATGTAGCCAAACCAGTCGGCCAACTGGTCCAGGCAGTCCTGCCGCTGGGAGGATCTCCGGCTGCCGGCAGTGCCCTTCGCCGCGGCCGGAGCGGAGTGTGGGGTCTGGGGGGTCCCCGCAGCCCCATCCCTGCACTGCTCCTGCTGGGCCGCCCCCTCCTTGTGCTGCTTGCGCTGGGTCACCTTGATGGGTGGCAGCTTGGTGACGGCGGCCACCAGCACGTTCATCAGGATGTCCTCGCAGGCGGCCAGCCCGTCCACCAGCTCCCGCAGCCCCGCGGGCAGGTACTCGGTGAAGAGGGTGTGGTAATACCTGGGGGGAGAATGGGGTGAGGGGCGGGATGTGCCGAGCCCCCTGACCCACCGGCCCCGTCCCGGCCCCACCGACCCCGTCCCAGCCCCGTCCCGGCCCCATCCCGGCCCCACCGGCCCGTCCCCGGCCCCTCTCCGGCCCCACACCTGTGGTAGAAGGCGGCGGCCGTGAGGACGATGGAGAGCTCGTTGTTCCATTTGGAGGTGTAGCCCCAGCGCCCCTGCTCGCGGTCCCAGAAGTGGCTCTGCGCGGGGAAGCCCACGATGCGCTCGGGRAAGCTGCGCCACACCACGAAGGCAAAGTCCACCTGGCACGGGATGGGCGCGGTGTCACCCGCAGAGGTGTCACCCACCGCGGGGACCTCAGGGAGGGGGTCACCGCTGCCCCTGGAGGGCGTGGGGACATGGGGACAGGCCAGTGGTGACCGCTGGGMACCCGAGGGAGCGGGGAGCACCTCGCTGGTGGAGAGGATGGTGTGCTCGTCCAGGCTCAGCACCGCGTCCGTCTGGATGGCCTCGAAGGGGAAGAAGCGGTCACTGAGCTGTGGAGGGAGCAAGGACAGGCTGGGCTGTGCCATGGGGTGGGTGCTGTGC